TACATTTTATAGATTGAAACCTAGAAAACTTTACAACGGTTAAATAGAATACCAGGCACACTGAAACTATAACCATTGTGAATGTCTTTGTATCATTTTGAGATACCCCATAGGCTTCCTATCTATGTTGGATGTATTAATATGTCAATTTGACAAAATTAGGTTTCTTCAACTAGGTTTTATATACTACCAGGAAAATAAAATGCGAGGAAAAGACCAATGTTACCTTCGCAGCATTCATCTCAAACTGTAACTGAAGTTCATCCAGCAAAGCAGGCCAAGATTCGAACTCCAACTTATGCCACGAGGACGCCAGCATGAGAATTGGGTCCAATTCATCTAAAGGAAAATATTTGAGGATAAAAAACAGATTTACTTGTATTCCATCATGGAAAACCATATGCAGCAAAAGGCTAATTGCTTACCAGAGAGAGGGAATTTTGCAACAGTTTCCTGTAAAATTTGTACCCGGTTAAGAAGGAACTGCAACCCCGAGAGAACCTTCAGCGGAAAACAAGACAAGTTAGGTATTTAGGTATTGCAACAAGAATATCCTGCTATGAACCAGAAAATATCATTTCAGCACAAGCAGATAGCTAAATTCAAGGATGCCAAGATCCCTTGGCAAATAATGATTTTAGTTTTCTGTTTATATATTGTAATTGACAAGGTGGAAACCAGGGAAGGAAGGTAGTAAGGTGAGGTAAGAAAAATTATAACTTCAACTAGTTTTGATTCAAAAGTCCAACAGCAAGAGTATCACAAGAAAGAAAGAAGACATAGAAGAACATAAATTGGTTCAAGACCCTGATATATTATATTTTAACTATCACAGAAAAAGCAATAGGATGTACAGCACATTATTAGCTCATTTAAATCTCAAAAACCTTACGCCGGTGGTAAACAATCTACCTTGGCGAGAGGAGTGTTCAATGGTAGAGCCAATATCATTTCAATTACATCCAAGATTTTCTGAAGAGCAGGATGATCATCCCATTCGTTCAAAAGCACAAGAATTCGGTGCTTAAGAATCGTAACAGGCTCCACCAATTTAACCATCATGGATGAGTTTGGATCCTAAATGAGAATCAAAGAGAAAAGTAGTTAATAAGTGATCATTTTCAAGTGAAAACAAGCAAATGTAAAAAAGCACAGGCATTTTAGAAAAGACAAACCTGATAAAAATTGTAAGTGTGAGCTGATTTGTGAGACAATTTAAACTTGTGATCATGCTCCATACAGAGGCGAAGTAAGTGTTCTGGCGTAACCTTAGCATCTAAACTAGAGGAGAATAAACCACCTAAATCTGGAAATTGAAAAGAATGAGAAATTTTACCTACATAAAATTTAAAAAAGAAAAAATGATCAATAAGAGACGCACCTTTAATCATTTGAACTCCCAAAGTATACGAGCCAAGGAAGGAAGATAATCTGTCTAAATCAGACACATGAATACTTCCAGGCTGAACAGGAAAAGCAATGATAGTTATTGTTTCTTAAATGAAAGCTCAGATTGATGACAGAAAAATGTTAAGAAATTGCAAGTTAAATGAGTCCAATACAGAATGAACGAATGTAAAATCTATCTTCAGTAAGTTTACTGTACGGAAGATACACAATTGTGGAGCCTTTCGGCAACACTATGAGCTCATCCATGCTCAAAGAAGATGAATTCAACATGCTTATCAAGCTTAAGAGTAATGACAAAGTATATGTTTCCCAAAACTTATAAATCACTTCAGAAAGGCAAGATACTTGAGAGGGTCCCATCAACAAGATGCGTAATAGAAAACTCTTCACTTTTCCAGCATTATAAGGGTAAGGCACGCCATGATTTTTAGCTAATTCACACACATCACACTGAGATTAGAACAATCTAAGTAGAAACAAAATTTGATGTCCTAATATTTTATGAATGAACTAGTATAAAGGAATGTAAAATCTATCTTCAATAAGTTTATTATACGGTAGATATACAATTGTGGAGCCTTTCGGCAACACAATGAACACATCCATGCTCAAAGAAGATGAATTCAATATGCTCATTAGGCTTAAGAGCAATGACGGCGTACATTTTTCACAAAACTTATGAATCACTTTGCTCTGAAAGGCAAGTTACTTGTGAGTGTCCCAACAACAAGATGCGTAACAGAGACTCTTCACTCTTCCAGCATTATTTTAAGGGTAAGGAACACCATGATTTTAGCTAATTCACACACATTACACTGAGATTAGAACAATCTAAGTAGAAACAAAATTCGATATCCTAATCTTTTATGAATTAATCCGTATTCTTCTAATTTTATTTTAAAAATAATAAGTTTCTTATGAAGTTTAGCACTATCTTTTTTTTTTTTTTCCTAAAGGATAAGTTTAGCACTATCTTATAGAGGAAAGGGTCTTTCACAGGCATCAAAATAAATTATTATTAGAGAATGTTAGTGTGTGATGATGTGTTTGCACATTGATATTGAAAGATCAGCTATACAGCAGTTAAGAGCTTTATCTAGCCGTTGTTTGGTCCGATTTTCTAAAACTCATTTTCAACCACACATTCTCCCAATAGATAAATTTGCAAGTGGACCCATAACTTTTACCACTTTTTAACCACGCATTCTACGAAAAAAAAGGGCTTTAAAAAAAAAAAATCTCTACTAAACAGGGGCGTAGTAAGCTATTAAAAACTTATGCTTGAATCGTGTAAGGCGAATTTATACTAAGTATTAAAAATTTATGCTGGAATTAGGTAAGACAAATTTGAAGTGAACTTACATTCCGAACAAGGTCCAGTGAACCAAATAACTGATTATGAACCTGGACCAAGTCATTCAAATTGAATTCCACTGTGGAATCCCAATCTTCCTCCAAAGTTTCATGCTCCTTGCCAGCTTTGGTCTACAAACACAGTTACAGACACTGTCACACACCATATTGATACACACCTAATATACGTGCACGTACAGACATATAAACGTGAATGTATGTCTGAACACATATACGTACACGTTTCCATGACCACACGGTGCATGAGACCAGGCAATGTTACCTTTTCAACATGTTCTTCGGAAAGCATTTCTTGCCATTCTGAGAAGCTTTCATTTGGAAGCAAACTTGCTAGGTTTGAGATATCTATTTCAACAATGGTCTCGATCTTAAATGCACGTGCCTTGAACTTGAACTCTTGTGCTTCGTTATCTTCTCTAGCTTTCACTTTGAGTTTCATATGCATCCACTCTCTAGCAAACTTATCAAAGATCTCATCCAAAAGCTGACAAAGTTTATAGTACAATGTTATTTTAAGATGCTGATGTGAGAGTGGCCTGAGAACCGGTAAAATTTCACGTAGTAAGACCTCACCTTGAAGGTAGCATCATCCAGAAAACGTGCGTCGGCAACAGAATGTTTGATCTGAGATAGAACATTCTGATACATGGAAATTCTAAGTTGCAGGGTCGAGACCTAATGTAAAGTAGTAGAAGAAAAATTACAAATGCAATTCACAACATGCCAATTAAGACATAAAAGCCTAGTTGCATACCAGGCTTAAAAAAGAAAAAGAAAAAGGAAAGTCATCACAATCAGAATTACTAACCGTTCCATTGTTTACGGAATTTTTTGTGAAACCAATTATTTTCTCTAGCAAATTAATATTTACAGCACCAATGCTTGTTGGCAATTCAATATCACTGGATACCAGTTTGGCCTGCTTATTATCAAGATTGACAGAAACACTTCTAGCTGCACAGCCTCGAGGAAATCTCATAAAAGCATAAATTGTGTGCTGCCAATAAGCTTCAAGTGTCAAGTGCAAACAGCTAAGGGAAAAATAAAAATAAAAAGTAGGGAAATGGATCTCTTATTTACCAGAACCATCTCCATATCTTGCTCTCCAATCTCTTCAAGATACTTTTTGTACAATAAACTAGAAATTATCAGTGATAAGCCAAATTTCATTTCGTATATCGCAACTTGAACAGGTTGAACGACATCAACATATGAAGAGTACACATTCGACAAGTGCTCAATAAAGCACAAAGCAGTCTCCTGAGATACAAGGATATTAAAGAAGAAAGAAACCTTGAGAGAGGAAATTATACACATTGCAGGCTGCTGCATCTAAAGACAACAATTTACTGATCTAAATGATGGCAAGCAAATTATACCTGCCAATTTTTTAATCGGTCGGTAACCTCTCCTGTATCCATGCTTTCAACATTCATGATCCAACCAATGAAACTCGAAACCAACTCACGGAAATCATCACACTCACGCTTCAACTCCCCGTATTTTCCTGGATCAGAGCGGAATGAAATCTGACATAAGAGCAAACAAAATTAGGTGGGTGCAAGTATCTCCTTTGTGCATAAAGAAAATAATAAATATTTAAATGATTTTTAATGCAACCAGATTTAGTAAATTGAATGGACAAAGAAAGAACAATTAAGTGTCCAAATGTGGTATGAGAGTAATTGTCTACGTGAATACAATTTACAAGTAGTTGATGTCATTAACTAATAAGCAAAAAGCTTCTTTTTTTTTTAATAAACAGTGCCCATGGAAGTAGATAAAAAAAATCTAAAAATCAATGTTATTACAGATAAAAAAAAAAAAAATAGTGTAAAATTGTAAACCATCAGGAAAATAAATACTTATCCAGAAGTTTTTTAATATCCACATCCAGAATCTCATTTCCAATAATTGTCTCGAGGAATGAAAACAGATTCTAAAAGGAGTAGAATTTAAACTAATATCCTTACTCTTTAAACATGCATTTCTTTAAGGGAGTAACAATGTCACAAGTATCAATGAATTTTAGACAAAATGTCAGACAGGTAAAATGACTAAAGGACTTCAATTAACTGATGTTCCAGAATTTGTCTATCAAATTTTTATCAACCTACAAAGATCATACATGGATTAAACAATGTCAGACAGGTAACATGAATAAAGGACTTCAATTAACTGATGTTCCAGAATTTGTCTATCAAATCTTTATCAACCTACAAAGATCATACGTGGATTAAACAAGTGCCATTTCCCCACCTCTCGACTAGGAAAATAACTGAATCACTGACATTGGCGAGGAGTGTGTAGAGAACAAAGAGCAACGACCCAGAATCACAAATCCACATAATATTAAAATTCTCAAAAATATTAGCTACATGTATGACGTAAGTGATCTGTAGTTCATAGATTCCAACAACATGGCCACATCAAGAATAAAGACTTTGCCATTTGTACACTGCCTTTATACACTATGGTTGACACTTCATTCTTGTCAACAATGCATTGGATGAAAAAAGGGCTTAAAATTTAAAATGTCCAATTAATTAATGACGTGGCGAAGTGCAAACCAAAATGTACACCAAATTGTAAATGTAGCAAGGTTCCAAGAATAATTTCAAGAAAAAAAGAGATTCAGTATAACACTTTGGAAAGAAGCTCATGAACCTTTCTTCGAAGCCTTCTCTGCTCAGCATTGAGACTTTCCAACAACTTCACTTTGTAACTATTAGCATCTTTCTCAATACTTCCTGCTAAATGGACACACTCTTCCCTTACCTGTAAAGATGCAGTATTAATACATATCTGGGTAAAAACAACAATATGAGCTATGAATTAACCTACAAGCCCAATGACCCAAGGATTTGTAATTCATAATGATTGCAAGGAAATGCAAACCTCCTTTTAAGTTTTGTTATGCAACCAGCAATTCACAAGCAAGTGCTTGCCCCCAGACAATTTTCATTTTTTTTTGGGGGGGGGGGGGGGGGGGTATATGCAACAATTTACCAGTATATTGTTCCAGTTACATTTGACAAATACATCCACACAACATTATAAATGATAAATAAATATTCAATAGAATCAATCTTTAGCTCATAAGATAAATATGTACTTTCAAAACTGGTTCCCAAAATCAAAACAAATAACCAATGATTTCAAAAAATTGATGAAAAAAATAGGACAAAATACATGAAGTACCAACAAAGCACAAGAAAAACATTCCTACACATGCATGTGTTATATACATGTTATATATGTATAAAGAGGAGAGACCTTTGTTCACATGCATTTTAGTTGATCATGTGCATGTAGGTGACATGATATATGAAACATCAGAAAAAATTGAGGTTTTGCATGAACATTTTGAGAAGCAGACAGAGTCAAATGCAGAGTGATCACACAGATAGAATGAAACTATTCTGTGCATCATCAGTACATAATCAGGAAACGCCATGCCCTCAACCATACAGAGAGTGGCAAATGGATTTTTCTAATCTCTCTCCAAATTGGAGAGAGGCAATAACGGATTTTTCACCTTCACTTTTTTAAAGATTTAACATACACTCACAAACCAGCTAATGGTAGACAGTCTCAATCTCATGATATCAGCACTTCAAATCCAGATATTACTTAAACATGTGTAAGAATAACAAATAGAAAGAAAATAAGTGGTTTTTTACACACATGAACGTGCATGATAAAAGTGTACGTTGATAGAAAAATCCACCTGAATTTCGATCTCAAGAGAAGTAATCTTTTCCAACAATTGAGAATACTTAATTGAGTATTTTAGAGTCGGATCCAGATCGTCGCAGCAGGTCAAAAGATTATAACGTAAACCACCAATTCGTAACCAAGCACATCCGAGTCTTCGCACAATGTCTACTGGTACAAGGCAAATGTGAAGAAATAATAAAATTGAGAATTAAATCAAAAATTGGAAAACCTCCAAGCACTAGTAGTTAGTATATATGCACTCACCAGTAGATGAGCATACAGGATAAAGTTCACCAAGCAATGGCTCAATAAATGTATCAATCAAGGAAGTGAATATGGGGTGGTTTGACGACCCAAGAAGGGAAACCAGGGCCTTTATAGTTTCCTGCTGTGACAAGAAAGTAAGCATGAAAACAGTGAAATAAACAATAGAAACAGAAAAATGCTATCCAAGTCAATTGTTCAAGAAACTCAATAATACATATACAGCAAGTGAATAGATTAAATGTTCTTTTTATAATGATAAACACACAACCTCTAGTTCCCATTTAGAGTGGAGCAACTAATACATATAATTATCACACTCTTTTCTTTTTTCTGAAACCAAATATCACATTCTTTCTCACTTCAAAAGAAAAACGGTAATTAGGTTGGAGCGAGGAAAGATATGTACCGTATTCTTTATTTCCTTGAAAGAGTGGAAAGCAGACTTGATTTTAGCAAATTTGACATCCTCGTAAGATTTTTCATGCGCATAAACAATCTACAAGCACGGGTAGAAAAAACCAAAAAATGAAAGATTAGACGTGCCAAATTCATGATTTGGCCATATAAAGAAGCATATTATTCATCAAAGGAGGGGAAAAACCTGCTGGAAGAGAGATCGTGCAGCAGAAAGAAGTAAAGCGTGTGCATGATTCATATTTTCAGAACTTTGCCAGAGACTACGGGAAGCAACTCTAAGCTTGAAGCTGTGAAGTGGATAATCTCTGATAGAGAATCTACTTTGCCTGAGATATACAAATCAATAAAAATCTATAACTCCATAAATATACAAACAAGTAACACAGCACTATCTTCAATGTGGATGAGCATAACACTAAATGATGTGGCATCTCTTATTTGCTAACCAAGGTTTAAGATTATAATGATTTGGACATGGCTACACCTTGGGGGAAAGGGAAGGTTCAGGAATGGGCTTTGTGTAAAGACGAGCATAAATGATATAGAATTCTCAAGACACAGTTAGACAGGCATCCAAGTGCTGTCCACCTTGGCACTGCCTTCCACCATCGACTCTGCCCTCCACCAACAGTGGTTTTTCCTTGTCATCAGCATTTTACTCTCCAAAGTTTTTCAAAATTTCTGCGTATTTTTAATATTATTTGGCTGATATACTTTAATGGATGCCGGTATTTACTGTTACCTAATTTAGCTTGAATTTAACTGGGAGAAGTTTAGAATTCCCCCTTTTAGGGTCTCAAGTTGGCTTGAATATGCTAATTATGCTGAAATATTGTTGTCTTTGTGCAATTTGCTATTCATGATAAAGTAGCTAGCTTTTCGTTTGTTGGAAATAATTGATCACTTTTGATAGCTCCTGGCACACTTTTTGTAGTCGTGTTCATTGGACATGACAAAACATATGAACTTGATCCAAAAGTCATAAGCACACGAGAGACCAATTCAACGCAAAAGGTGGATACCGTTTTCCATGTAATTAATCTATACTGGTAACTGAAAATTTTTCGGGTTTTACCAAAAAATAAAAAGAAAGAGAAAAGAGAAAAAAATTCTGAAGGGCTTAACTGATGACTGTCGTGTTACCATACAAAACTAGAACATCAAGAAAAAAATCACGAGAGAACTTGAATAATCAAAAGAGTGCTAGAATAAATCTTACAACAACTGATCGATCGTTGCCATTTTCAAAGGCAAAAAAATCTTGTGAGGCAGCAGGCCATCATGCTTGTAGAGGTCCTGCATGACCAGTCAATAAAAGTCAAAACAATGAGCCTAGCACAAACCAAAAATGTGTCTTGTGGTAAATCAACATTATAGTCTGACCAATAGCTCTGCTAGAAGAGGGCAGTGTTCCCACAGTGTTGTATGCCACCTAAACCACATCTCAAGAATGAAACTGGATATTTTTTCATTTGCTGCAGAGTGCAAGAATACACTAATTATAAAGATGCCAGAAAAAAATGATGCGACCAGATATATAGAGAAACACGAACCTGCATGACCTGATTCCCAAGCATCCAGGGTCCACAAAATCTTTTGATGAGGTATAAGGTCAGTTGGAGGCCTTGATGAGAAATTCAATGAGAAGTTCAAAGTTGATTCAAGAAGACCAGACAGAGTAGATAAAACCTGCTATATTAAGAAAATGTCACTGTCAAGAAGAAGAAGAAGAGATTTCAAGTAGCCCTTAATTAAGTTAAGGAAGAAAGGAGAAGTCGTACGTGACTTTGTTCTTCAGTGTTAACCAGAGTAATCTTTGTTAGATGCTGGAGTAGCCCCAAATCAAGGAAAAAACTAATCTCATCTGTTATATTTATTGTTTCCAGCCAGCAGTATACACCAGATCTTCTACATAAAACATCAGGAGAGAAGACACAACAAACAGATGAAACTGTATGTATATATGCTTGTTGAGCAGTTCCTGCAATGTCTTTACATTTATTCTTCTCAAAATCCAATCTTCTCAAAAGCATCTACAAGAATGACATATATGTAAATGTCAAAGAACTTCGTTTCAATGTAAATAAGAACAGAACATCATGAAGCATACCTGATACATTTCTTCCAACTGCTGTGGAACAGTGAAATCCTCATCATCTGCTTTGCCAATAATATATGATGACATAGAAACACCTTCAAAAAAGTAAACATCCGCTCAAATCAAATTGCACATCTAACAAGAAACTAATAGAGAGTACTGATAATGAGATCAATACTGAATCCGGCTTGGAATGCAATAACAAGTCAAATCCAAGTATCAAATCATCTACAGATGAAGAAGAAGACCTCTATATAAGTTATAAATCCTATATTTGATGAGATTACAATTTGAAGATCATAATTTTTTAGGATATTGTGGCCATTTTTACACTACCCCCATTAAAGTTAACATATTACAGCACCTGCGAAGAAAGAACGATAATTCACAGTTCCAGTCTAACGAACCCCATTAACATCAACATATTTCAGCACCTGACGAGCGTATGAGAATTCACAGGACCAATACTGGAATAAAAGCTACAAGTCTCAGAAGAAAATGACGATTCTACCTTGCACAGCAAGGAAGCGAAGTTCCGAATTGCAAGACAAAGCAGCATAAATTGGCATCTCATCTGGATCACTTGTAGCTATAGAAAACATGCGAGGTAATACAGAAACAAGTAAAAAATGTAAGAGAGTGGAAAAGAAAAAAAAGCCAGCATAACATCTAAATACTAACTGCTCTTCTGAATAGGGGAGATAAATAAGTAAAAGCATACCAAGCTTCCAAAACTTCATTTTTCTGGGCCAGTCCAATTCACAAAGTTTTGAAAGCTGAATCTGTTTCTCGTACAACTCAGCCGACGAAGGCAGAGAAGGGTGTCCACCATGTGCCCAGAGCAGAGACTTTTGTGAATGAAAAGATAAGTATGAAGTTCCTTGCAGTTTCTTCATTTTCTCCTATACAACATAAAGTCCAAAACATAACTCTAGCATATGTAACAGAAAGATGAAGAAAGGAGCTGGACAAAAGGGAAGGCAAAAGAATGAAGACCATGTCAGTACCTGAAAATTTTCTACTTCTCTTGGGCAAAATTCCCACAATTTCACAGCATCTTTCATCAAACAACGCCAAATAACTAGAAAACATTCTACCTGAGATGAAGTGATACAATTCCAAAAGAGTATATGATGCTCAAGAAGGTCACTGTATGATTGAAAAAGCACATCAAAAGTAGATGACTCGGCAATCAATTCAAGCACTTTCTCTTCCACCCTTCGTAGCGAACTTAAAACGTGTTCAAAACGTTGAGTTCTGATACCACAGCTGTACTCATTCTCATGACTCCATTGCTGAAAGCTAAACTCATTCTCATGACTCCATTGCTGAAAGCTAAGTCTCAGTAGGGGAATACACTTAATCGAGTTGATTAGAAGTCGGCGACAGGAACTCAACATATCAACAGATGCAGTTGCATCAACCAATTCCATGGAAAGTATGGGTAAAGACATGACATCTCTCTCAGTTGAACTTAAAGACATAAGCTTTCTACATGAATGAAGTATCTGATTCCAAATAGGATGTTCGATTTCCTTTTTTAGTAAGCCGGAAAACCAATTGAAAAATGAACCAAATGGCTGTAATTGAGAACCAAGCCACTCAAACCAGTAAAGATAAAGGCAGTAATCGCTTTCAGTGGCCTGCTCAAATGCCCAATTAGCAGCAAAGAACAGCTTTTTCTTGGCTAATTCCAAGTCATAGTCATTTTGCATGCCACAGTTTGAGAGCATATCATTTGAAGCCTTAGGAAACATAGTGGAATGTAGCAACCTAACTTCCATGAGGTAAATAGTTGCAGTGCCTCTAGCAAAACCGCTCGAGCTACTTCCAAATGATTGACATGCAAACTGAGCTCCCAAGGACTCCAAAAGCATACAATTTTGTCTCACACTAGCCTCTTTTGAGTAAAACACAAAATCCCTCAATTCCAAGGGTATTGGCCATCCTCCAGGCAAACATAACAAGCCATCTTGAGGAGAAGGAAATCTTCCAAGTTCCGACATTGATAAATAAGAAATAGTTGCTTGAGCAACAATATCTTTTCCTTCTCCCTCACCGAGGGATGAAAGATATGTATGCTCCCAACTAATTTGGAGGCTCCATGTGGGTTGATTTCCATTTGTGACAAGCCTCTTGAATAGCTGTACCCAGCGTGCAAGTTCCAGATATGTAATGCTTACATTGAGATGGACTCCTTCATGCTTAGCAAAAATGTGGGCTTTGGCCATCATATCAACCAACTTACCAACTGGGATTCCAGAGAGGGTAATAAATCTTTTCACATCTTTGAATTCAATCTCATCCAGATTTTCACTGCATTTCTCGTTGAGCAACCAATTTTGCATTACATATATTTCTACCCCTCTATTCCGCATTGCTCGGGAAACTTCACCATAGCTAGGATTAACTGTGAGGAACATCCTAAATTGAGGATGGGGATGAAGAACCACTGGCTTACCTTCCACAGCCCCACACTCATTAATGGTGATTGATCCAGATTGCTCGACCAAGGAGTTAATCCTATCAAGAACCTGATGGCACAAAACAGAGACCAGCTTACACTTTGGAATAGAATACATTTTAATACTAAAACGAGCTATAGTACCATAAATAATAAAAATAATTATGGAACAACAAACAATAGAACATACAAACCGTTGGGTTGCAAAGGTTTGCATTCTCCAGAACAATCCATTCCCCATTCTCTATAGCCTTTATAAGTAATCCAGTTACCCATTCAAACTTCACAGAATATCTCCTCCTCCGGTAATCTTCCTCCAACTTTTTAATTTTATTAAGAGTACTCTCCAGATTCTTCTGAGACCACGAAACACACAGTCTATATATCTCTTGATCCGAACTTAAAATTTCAATAATCTCAACTAACATAGGGATTGACTCAAAGTATCTCATCCTTTGATTCTCAGAGTCTGTTGCCATAGACCCAGCAGAAGGACCATATTCAATATTTGATAAGAAAGCAAGCCACCGTGTAATCAGATCCTTTCTTCGAAAAAATACCTCAAGGGAAGATTCCAACTGTAAGCTGCAATACTCATTTATATAGCTTTCAACTCGAGCAATGGCAAGTCGAAAGTCACGGAAGGCATTGTGTTGCTCAAAGCATCCAAGCAGTTCAGATATATCAGTTGCAGAAGAAAGATTTAATTCGTTCAGCACATTCCCTGTGACCTGAGCGAGTAATCTAATCAATGAAGTTTTACCAGCAGATGGTGGGCCAACTAATATGCATAACCAATTATGCTTTACACATTGTGTTACAGCTTCCAAGCTATTACGTATGCTGGGCAAAATTTTAAGCTCATTATAAAATACTCCAGAAGGTTGATAGCGATTCCTCTCAATTGATATGTTTCCTATGGTTAAGTAACAAGGATTAAGCTGAACTCTTGGTTGCGGATTTATAAATGACTTCAGTCCAAAAACCTGTTCATATAACTTCATGACTTCTCTTCTATCAGATGGTGTGCGCATTCTTTGCAGGTAAACAGTGCTTAAAAAACAATCAAGTTTTGATTTTTCCGGAGCACCTGAAAAATATTTAGTGTGAGAGAATACATCATGTTGATATCAATATAATAAATCAAGATAAGTAATAACCAACCCTGTATGATTTGACATGAACGGATCACATCTCGCAGATTAAACTCCCATGGGGACCCATCTTGACCAAACTTGTGGTACACCATCGTGTCTTCATGTAATCTTCTATTGAATAATACCAATTTCAGAAGAATGGCTCTTGGTATTGATGGATAAAGTGAACTACATATGGAAAGATAATCCTCCTCGACTAGCTCATCAACGTAAACCTGAATCCAGTTGGAAGGAAAAAAATCGTTAAGCCATCGACATTCACAAAAGAGTTAAAACTCGGACGCACTGCCTGTGTATCTAATGACAGACAAGTAATACCTTAGTGAACCGGTTGAGAAAAGACTTCGGAAGGCCTTTCCGGCCTCCTCCCTGATAAGAAGGATTCTGACAAGCAAAAACCCTAAAAGATGTTGGACACTTAAAAGAACGACCCAATTCAGGAATGAAAACCTCAGCTCGATGGTCCAATATAGCGTTCAAACCCTAATTTTCATAATTAAATTGTCAAAATCTATGCATAAAAAAACTAGTATTTAATAATAAGCAAAAAATACTTTCTACATGAAAGATAAATAGCAAGTACTGACAAGTGACAAATATAAAGTGATACCTCCAAGACAGATTGTGGAGCAAGATTAAGTTCATCCAGCAGAACCCATGATCCCTTCTTTAAGGCCTGATTACAAAACATACAGAAAATCATTAGATTTCATAATCAAATCATACTTCAAGACAAATAACAATTTTCCAACCTGAAGTAGGATTCCATCAGACCATGCAAACTGTATTCCTTCATCACTCTCGACTGGCAAATCTGATCCCAGTAAGTCCATTATGTCGGTCTGCACAAATCAGCCAATTAAGATCTTGTAATGCCAATATTCATACAAGGGTGGCTACAATACCAGGAAATCACAGTGTGGGAAATGAAATAAATGAAGGATTAATAAGGAGGGTTCACTCACTAACCTGTTCTGATAGGTTGATTCGAACAACGGTGTGCCCAGAATATTTTCCAAGGGCAACAATTAAACTTGTTTTCCCAACACCCGGACTTCCTTCCAACAGAACTAGAAGCATGAAAATTCTAAATATCAGAAAGCTCATCATAGAATTTTCATTCTTATTTAATAAATACCGCATGCAGTCAAAGGAATACACAGACAACAAATCCACGCATATAAATATATCATTGTTAATCAAGGTACATAATTAGCTTGCAAAAAAGAGTACCAGGCTTTGAAAGCTGCATAGCACGCAGCACCCGCAATGCATTTCTACAGGTGGTTGGTGCAAGGAATTCAAATCCTTTAGCATCAATAGTCTCAGCACCTGCACAAGATTAAACAAGATCTTTACGATAAAGCATATACTCCATAACGTACTAGTGCAGACAATGCTTGATGGAAAGCACTTAATGAGGGATGAAGATCAACCAACAGGCAGTAAATGATATTAACGTACTAGTTGACTCTCAAGATAAAACTCATGCAACCAAAATAATCCAACATTCTGAAAGCTTTTACCCTGACCTTGTGTGATAAATTCAGGTCAAAATAAAACATTGTCAACTTTTTGTAACTACTAAATTTCATGTAAATTACTTAAGATGTTTCAGTTAAAAAGTCTCTTTAACGTACCATAAACTGCTTGAGTAAAAAAAAAAAAAAACGCAAATAAACGAGGACATGATATATTTCTATTCATCATCAAAAAATGAACAGAACATAGAAAGAAGCAAAGGAACGGGTACATGATTTATTTCAATTTATCATCAATATACAACTAAAATATAGAAAGTATCCCTCTACCTAAAACAGTTACATTACTAAATGATATTTTTTGAAAGAATATACGACTTCAATTGAGAAACTAACTCCCAAACCTGGCATACTAAAAACAGCAGCTATATATTATAGCAACAATAGTGAATGGACTGAGGAAAATTTTTTAATAGGCACATCCAGAAATTTTCGTATTAAAGAATAAAGTCTCCAAAAAAAAAAAAAAAAAAAAAAAAAAAAAATTATTTAAACTTCTGTAAGACCAAAAAAACCAAGATCAGAATTATGTTGTATATTCAACTACTTTGCTCCTCCAGAAATAGATAAGGCACAGCAGAGATATTTGAACAAAACCACACATAAGAGTAACCAATCTCATAAAACATCCCCTATCACTTATAGAGCATTTTCTTCCATCAACAATTATTTAGGTGATGAGTAAAGAATAGTGCTGAATACCACCAATGAAAACACTACATATCTTCTAATTTTAAAAAAGGTTCTGCAAGTAATACACGAATAATGTGGCAAATTAAGTTCAGTTGTTTGCTGCCGGGTTGGATGAGCCAATAAATCGAATGCGTTCGGTCTAACACATAACGACACATGAAATTGGAAAAATGCTTCAAAAGTCAGGATGCAATATGAAAACAAATTCAATTCCTTGAAAATCAGATGACTTGGGCAATCTAAATCCATATTTTTTCACATCATCAAGTGTTTCAACAATTTTAAAACAGAAGAGGGGTCTTCTCAATGTAGAATAAGCAACAATGCTACAAAAGATACAAGTGGATATATTTTTATACAATATGAAGCTGTAAGCTAGCAAGATGGAAGTACAAGTACGAAAGATAGAACTGTACAAATCCTATTTCATTAAGAAAGGATTAAGGCTCTATTTGAGCCCCATATTTTGGGAAACAGATTTGTTATAGTGAATATTTTGGAGAATGTGGTGTTAAAAAGTAAGAAAAAGTTTTAGGTTTAAGTGTAAAATTATTTTATTGGAAGAATGTGAGTTGAAAGTGAGTTTTTAGAGAATGAGGCTCAAACAGGGGATAAATCTCCTCCTCCACCAAAAAGAGAGAATATGTAGATAATCTTTTGATTCCATCCAGCGAGAACTGCAAGTGAAGATTTATGAAGAGTGAAAACTGTAATATATACCTCTTTCAATATAGAAAGGATGAATTCCAAAGTGGTCATCAAGCTGCATGCTGTCAGCAGATATCGAGACTGTTGAACTTCCAAGATTAGCCCAACCATAAGATTCTAAAGTGGAAAATTTGGAGAAATCGAGTGTATGATTGTACTCCTGTCATAATGAAACAAAAGCACCATTATATTCTTTATAAATATGCTTGTTATCAAAGCCAAACTGAACATGCATGTTAGGCATCCAACTGAACAAGAAAGAGAAATTTGTGCTGTGTCAAAAGAATAACTAATAAAAGAATGATAAATATATGCATGTAGCCAAAGATCATTGTAGCAACTATCGGTTGGGTTCTATGCATGTAATGCGAAGGTAAGGTTACGTTCAAAAGCTCGTATACTCTCCACTGACAGAGAATGATTGATTTACTCCTAAAAATTTTCTCTATCACTGATATTCGCAACAAAGATTTACCAAGATATTTTATTTCTTTTCAGAAGAGATATTCAGCAATTAAATTTTTTCTGCCTACTTGAATAAGCTCTAACGAACGGTACAACCAAAGAATAACATCATATGGCACAGGTAAGATGTTTTCTATTTGCCAGCATATTCAATTTCTTCTTTTTTTCTGAAGAGTCAAACATTAGGGAAATATCATATAGCTTTTATGTCATTTAAACTATATATATTTATGGTTGCCTGTGTAACTAATTTCTTCTTTTTAGTGAACAAAATTCAGATTGACATGTATAAACCACCACCTTCAGTGTTTCCAGAAGAAAAGTAAGGCATTTCATCCTTAACTCTGTTGCATCGCTTTTTGGTATATTTGTACCTAAAGGTCAACAGAAAATTTAGAGGCAAGGTCAGTATATAATGAACAAATGACTGTAAATAAATAAAACAATTTAGAAATGATATATAACAATTAACTCAGGCAGTCCTATGCAGTCCTATCTAAGCAATAGAGAATGATTAATTATCTTTAGGCAGATTAGGTACTGCAAATGTGACATTTTGATTTGAGTTAAAAACTCGAACTCCTAGCCCTTTTTGCATTCTCTCTCCCCATTGAACCTCAATCAGAATCTCTTTCATTATCAATTGACACAGTCCCTTGAAAAATAACAATATCCTATTCTTCACTCCAGCCCCTCTACGTAACTCTTTAAAGCTTCTGAAGTAACTCTACTCCCTTATCAAAAGAACAACATGTGTATCAGATTTACCCCTTGTTTGAGCCCCCATTCTTTTCATAAAATTGCATTTTTGAATAGTGTATTGATCGAAAATGTGTGGTTAAAAAATAAAAATAAAAAAGTTTTGGATTTGCATGTAATATTATTTACTGAAGAATGTGTGGTTAAAATAATATCAAAACACTGTTTAAGAATGTATTTTTTTCAAAGAATGGGGCTCAAACAGAGGGTTAATTTCTGGCCCCTCAATATGTATATGTACTCTATTTTCCAAATATAGAGAAGTAACACTTGCAATGGCTGGGCTATATAAACAATTTCGATCTCAGAAACATGTTAAGACTGTCTGACATAAAAATTAGTGTTATACAACCTATGTCATTAGAAGTCACGAAAAGTCTGCTCAAGTCAATCACAAATAGACAATGAAACAACTTGTACATGCTTTATTGACCAGTATGTCTCTTTTTGACATAACCAAAGAAAATTCCAAATGAGGAGACAACTTTTATCATCACTAAAGCAACAGAGATCATAATTGATTTTTTGTGAGAACGTGACTATAAATTAATTAATTTCATCTAAAGAAGTAATAAAATGTTGTTAACAAATAGTTTGGCAAGAAAGCTCAAAGAAATTTTTTTACCATTAAGAACAACTTTAACAAATAAGTAAAAACAAAATATGCAGCCAAAACCACAGACATGTACCTAAACTAAGTCCATCTAGTAACACAAGGAATGCCCCATGTAGAAATGCAAGTTCAGCTTGTAAACTTCCCTCCGTTGCATTGATAAATGATACCCAAGACAAGAGGTCTCGTACTGTAAGTATTATTCCTGTTTGTAAATGGTTGAACCACTGCATGGCAAAAAAAAGAATATACGATAATGACACTAGCCATCATTCATATAAATAATGCAAAACTATACTTAAATACAACTGGAACTGAAGAAAGCAATTAGGCCATCATGTCACTATGAGCAGGAAAAAACAATCAATCAGACAACAAAAGGAATTTCGGAAAAACAAACAGATACGAAGGGATCAAATTCTGCTTTGAATGTTTTTATTATAGAAAACCCTGATCACCATTTCTACTGGACATACTTTTCCAAACATGAAAGTTCCAAAAATGGAACAACCATTGCTTCCAACAAAAAAGGAACCTATCTTCATGGCATATAGTTCGGATAATTAGCAAATAAACCTAATGGATTTGCATTTACCATAAAACAATCCTAGGAGTTTACAAGTATATTGTTGAACAAATTATAATGGATAAAACAAATATGCCATCTATGAACAACTGGATGAGAATGTACCTCCCAGAAATTAAGCATGGGATCCACAACACCAGCAATTTGTGGGTTTAAAATCCTGTGGAGAATATTGAGGAAAAAAATCATTAAGAAATAACATATATACACGTAAATTACACATACATGTATCGCATACTGTTCCAAAAGAAAGTTTACTAAATTTACCTCTCCAGAGCAATACTTTTGAGCTCGTCTGTGTCACTAACTGAAGGAACCCATATCTCTGTAAACCTATTCCGAAGGGCAGGTGATAGTTCCTTCTTACCATAATCTCCACCAGGATTCATTGTAGCAAGGAGGAAAAAGTTTGGGTGAGCAATTATACTCTCAAGATCAGACCCACCTTTCTCAGCCAAAGACTGCAGATATTGAGACAAAAAATATCAGATAATGCTAGAATATAGGGCGCATAAAAAAATTTATAGAAGTGATTGAAGATTAACCTGAACGTCATAAAACTAGTTCAAGTAATCAAGGAAACCAGATTGTATTAAGTTATTTCTTTAAAACTGAAAGATACAACAGAAATATTGATCCTTATCCTGAACTTGGAGAAGTTGGTTAAACAAAGATTGGAAAGTGATATTTTAGGTAAGAGCAAGCTATCACAAAAATGAAGCAATCATGAAGCAACTTTATTTCCACACAGGAATTATGAAAGGAAAGGTGAATGCGAAGAAAAAATAAATTGTAATATAGTCGATCAAAATTATAAAAAGGAGGCAGAACATGATAAAAGTAGAACAGAAGTGAGGAAGACAGATTATGCAAATGTTCAAACAACAAAGCCCAAAAGAACTTCAACAAGTAACTACATTAACATTGAAGGGACTCATCAATTTCAAGTACACTTTTCCAGCTCACAAAAGACGCCAAAAAACACATTATTTGTCACTATATCACACATATTAGGCACATAATTATATTGTAAATATAGAATAGCCTTTATTTCCTTTTATAAGAAATATGATTATGTTGTAACTAGGAAAGTGATGCAATTAGAAGATTTACTAGAAATATTTTGGCTGTAAGGACGGTAATTAGAGACAAAGTTTCTATTTAATGAGAAGAAACTTTCAATTGAGAGGCATTCAGACAATTTTAACATGGTATCAGAACCTCCTTTGATTCTGCAATTTTCTTAAGGTTTCTAGCTGTTGCAGAATCTGGTCGGAAATCTTACAAATTTAGTTTGGGCTAATATTTGGGCTAGTGTTACCATATTTATTTTGGGCTAATTGGGCTGCTGTTACAGTGTTAACTGGGCCACTATTTCTATCTTTTGGCTACATTTTGGGCTGCTAACATTCACCTATTGCTGTCTGAGCTGCAATTTATTCTTTTGGGCTATTGTTGGGCCACTGTTTGGATTGTAGTAAACATATTAACGTTGTTGACTGATTAGAGGAACTGTGTTCGAATGCTACATTTATGATGTCGACGGAAAATATTTTTGTCCGTTTTAATGGAAAAAATTACTCCACATTGGAGTTTCAATTCAAAATGTTTATAAAAGAAAAAGAACTTTGAGGACATTTGGATGGATCATCTACGACTCTGAAGATAAAGAAGGGAAAGAACAATGGGAAAGTGCAGATGCTCGTATTATCTCATAGATTTTGGGATCAATTGAATCTTATATGATATCCAATCTATGCTCATTCACTACAGCCAAGGATATGTGGGATTATCTCGAACGTATTTACAATCAAGGAAACTTCGCATGGAAGTTCTAATTGGAATTAGAGATTGCACAATACAATCAAGGTAATCTTTTGATTGATCAATTCTATGCTGGTTTTCTTAATCTATGGAATGAATTCTCCAGCATAATTCATTACAATGCTCCCAAAGAAGCATTAGCTGCATTACAGGAAATTCAAGTAAAAAATCAAAGGCGTCAATTTCTTATGAAGCTTCGATAAAAATTCAAAACTGTTAGGGCTAGTTTACAAAACCGCAATCATGTTCCATCATCGGATATCTGCCTGGGAGAATTATTACGTAAAGAACGGCGTCTCACTACTCAACTGGGAATAGGACAAATGACTGTGTCCTCTAAGGTTATTGATGTGGCTTATGTTGTCCAGGGATGAGGAAAATCTAAATATCAGCTGCAATGCTACAAGTGCAAGGAATATGGACATATTTTCAAGGATTGTAACAGGACATTCTATAATTACTGCAAGGAAGGACACATCATTAACGACTGTCGCACATGACCTCTGAATCGCTAGGCTCGGGCTTTTCAAGCCAATGTTTAGTCTACCTCAGTAAGCACCTCTTCTACTCTCACACCCGAGATGATACAACAAATAAATCAGATGATTATATCTACCTTCTCTACTTTGGGACTGTAAGGTAAGAAAAATTTACTCTCCTCTCCTTGGTTGGTTGATTCCACTGCTTCAAATCATTTTTTTTTTTTATAGGTAATCAAATAATTTTATTACTTAAAAGAGAATACACGGGGGGTGTACAATTACTTTAAGCTATTAAGGAAAAACATGAAATTAGGCAACCCATCTACAGGATTTCTAGCCACAGCATTAAACCAAGAATACAAGGTAAAGTAAAATGTTTCTCTTATCTGCTCTCTTGTCTTTGTTTGGTCTTCGAAGCAACGGTTGTTCCTTTCTCTCCACACGCACCAAACAATGCAGCCCGGGATAAGGTGCCATACTAATTTGCTATCCTTATCCCGAAGTTTTCTACGCCATGCCCGTATCACGTCCTCTATACGACGAGGCATCACCCAATCCATAGATTGTGAACTGATTATACTGTTCCAAATCCAACGTACACCATCACAATGAATGAACAAATGATCAATCGTCTCCCCATCCTTCTTGCACATATAACACCACTCGGTTGCATAAAAACCTTTACGACGAAGATTATCTACCGTTGAGACCTGTCCCCTCACAACTGTCCACAATAGGAATGCCACCCGAGGAGGCAATTTACACTGCCAAACCAACTTCCATGAGAATGAATTATTCACACATCCCATGAGGGAACCAAAGTATGAGCGAACTGAAAAAATGTCATCCTGTGCTGTCCTCCACCTGATGCAATCCCTCTCTCCAATCCAAATTTGGGCCTCATGTAAAATTGTCATAAATAGAGAATAATCTTCTAATTCCCAATCCTGAAGATCCCTCCCAAAAGTTATATTCCAGCTATAACTCCCATTATGAATGTCTAAGGAATCACTCACCATGGCAGTGGACACTGAGGCAATACGATACAAGGAAGGGAATCTCTCCTTCAGCGGTTGATCTCCGCACCAACAATCATCCCAAAATTTAATCTCATTACCATTTCCAACCACAAACTTCAGTTTATCCAAAAATGCACTCCATCCCCGTCGGATATACCTCCACAAGCTCACCCCATAAGAACCACGATCCTCAAATGTACACCATCCCCCATCGGTCACACCATACTTCGCCCCAATTATTTCTCTCCAGAAACTGTCCCTCTCCACTCCAAATCGCCACAACCACTTGCCTAATAAGGCTTTATTGAACAACACAAAGCTCCTCACCCCAAGACCTCCCATCCTCATCGGCAAACAAACAACTCCCCAATTGACCAAATGGAGTCTCCTCTCCTCTCCCAACCCTGCCCACAGAAATTCTCTTTGAAGCCTCTCTAGTCTCTTTGCCACTGCTATCGGAATGGGGAACAATGACAAAAAGTAAGTAGGGAGATTAGAGAGAGTGGATTTAATGAGAGTAAGTCTACCGCCCTTAGAAAGGTACATACGCTTCCACCCTGCTAACCTTCTCTCCATCCTTTCTACAATACCATTCCAGATATGGGTACTTTTAAATCGTGCCCCTAATGGGAGTCCTAGATATGACATCGGCAACTGCGCAACCTTACAACACAATATATCAGCCAGCTCCTCGACATTATTAACCTCCCCAACTGGGATAGCCTCAGACTTTCCCAAATTAATTTTCAAACCAGACACCGCTTCAAAACATAAGAGCAGACGGCGCAAGTTCCTGAATTGTTCTACATCTGCATCACATAAGATCAAGAAATACAGAATTGAATCCATTTACACCATTTATCCCCAAAGCCACAGCGCCTGAGCATATATAACAAGAAACCCCAATTCACATGGTCGTAAGCCTTCTGAATATCTAGCTTACAAAGCATCCCTGGGGCCCTTAGGCGCATTCTTGAATCTATGCATTCATTCGCTATAGGCACAGAGTCCAAAATCTGACGCCCTTTTACAAATGCATTCTGAAACTTGGACACTACTTTTCCCAGTACCTCCTTTAATCTGTTTGCCAGGACTTTCGAAATAATCTTATACACCCCGCTGACAAGGCTAATGGGGCGAAAGTCCTTAATATCAGTCGCTCCCGGTTTCTTAGGGATAAGCACAATAAATGTGGCATTAGAACTTCTCTGAAATCTGCCACGTTCAAAAAAATAAGATAAAGTATTCACAATGTCCAGTCGAACCACATCCCAACACGCTTTGTAGAATTACTGCTTCAAATCATATGACTAGAAATACAAATAACTTACATAATGTTAAAAAGTATGAGAGTAAGCAACACACAGAAATGGCCAATGGTAGTACGCTCCCAATTATTGAGGTTGGAAATTTAGGGCCTTCATTTAACAATATGTTTGTATCTCTTGATCTATCTACAAGTTTGATTTCTGTTAGACAATTGGTGGATAACAATTGTGATGTTCATTTTGGTCGTGATGGTGGTCTTGTGCATGGTCAAGCATCGGGGAAAGTGATCACAAAGTGGCCTAAAGTGAGACGTCTGTTTCCTCTCCTGTTTTCCATTCCAAGTACTATTTCTTTAGCTCATACTGCTATAATTGAGGACTCCAATGTCTGGCATAAGAAATTGGGACATCCCAATTCTACTGTTTTGACTTATCTTGTGAAACAAGGTTATTTATGTAATAAAGATTCTATTTATCTTTCTCTAGATTGTACTACATGTAAACTCAATAAAAGCAAAATTTTAACCTTTTCCTGATCATGTTAGTCGTGCTTCTACTTTGATATTATTCATACTAATATTGGGGGTGTCAATCCTATTATTTCACATGCTCAATACAAGTATTTTGTGAAATTCATTGATGATTACAGTTGCTTTACTTGGGTGTATTTTCTCTGTTCCAAAGCCAAAGTCTTCTCAATCTTTTAGACTTTCGTCGCTTATGTTGAAACCCAATTTTCCACTAGCATTAAAATTTTACGTTCTGATGCTGGGGGAATATATTTCTAAAGATTTTCAGGACTATCTCAAAATAAAGAGGATCCTTCATCAACGCTCTTGTCCTTATACTCCCCAACAAAATGGTGTTGCAAAACTTAAATTCGACACATCCTCGATATTGTTCATACCTTACTTATTGAATCTTCTGTGCCTTCCTAAGTTTTGGGTAAAAGCTTTATTACGGCTGTATATTTGATTAATAGATTGCCTTCCTGCACTTTGGACTATGACTCTCCTTCCCGCACTTTAGACTATAACTCTCCTTACTCTTGCTTGTTTGGTAATGTTCCCGACTATCATTCTTTACATACTTTTGGTTGTGTCTGCTTTGTCCATTTAACACCCACCGAACGTCACAAGCTTACAGCTCAAGCAGCTAAGTGTGCTTTCATGGGATAGAGTCCTACACATAAGGGGTTTATGTGTTACGATCCAGACACTAATAAGCTACGCATTTGTCGGTATGTGGTTTTCTTTGAAAATCAATATTTCTTCCAGTCTCGTATCACTCCTGATTTTGCTTCTGTCATTCTTCCCACTTTTGATGCTATACATTGTCATATTGAACACTTCAAATTATGAATTGTATATCATAGACATCCCTCAGTGCCTCTTTCGCCTGATCTCGAACCGATATCTAATCTTGAACCTCGTCCTCCGGAGCTTGAGCTTTGACGCTCCAATCGTCTCACTCATCCTCCAGAAAAGTATTGTTTCTCACGTACTGCACTCCAAGCTACAATTGACACTACTTTTGTCCCCAAATCTTACTCTCGGGCTGCTAGTCAAGCTTGCTGGAGGCAAGCTATGCATGAAGAACTTCAAGCTCTCAAGACAATCATACTTGGGACATTGTACCCTGTCCAAATGGGGTAAAAGTTATTTTTAAGGCTAGACAAAACTCCCAAACCGAGTGATTTATCTTAAGTTAAATATCCGAACGAGTATTTGAATCGAGAATCGTCGAGTTTGGTTCAGTTCTCAATTCTAGATCAAGAACCGAATCTCCCTAATTTTTTTAAATTTATTTATTTTAAATATGCCAAATTATTTTTTTCTAAATAAATTTGCTAACTAGTTAATTTAGTTCAAACTCAAAATTTTGATTTTCTTATTTCTAATTTTCAGTTCAAAGTCAACTTATTAAAATTGACCTAAGTTTTATCCAAATCTGTTATTCTACCGTAGTGCCATTTCTACTGTTCTGGAGAAATCAAATTGAAACTCGACAATGTCTCTTTTAATTATTTTGAGCTCGCTATCTTCTTCCTGTGATTTTAACAATCAAATTTAAGAACTCAGCAAAGAGAGACGCAAAAAACACATAAAATTGAACTACCTTATTTTGTAAGAGCTAAGATTGAACATATCATTAGTTGAATAAATGTCACTTTGTAAATATTAAAAAATTTAATTATAATACGGAACATGGGAACCGAATGGAACCAAACCCGAACAGTTCCATAATTAAATTTGGACCCGATGATTTCACTTACTAAATACCCAAAAATTCCAGGTCCGGTTCGTTCTCGTTAGAAGCGAACCGGACCGAACCATTTCCAACCCTAATTATTAGATGCAAATGGGTTTACACAAAGAAGCTACACGCTAATGGTTCCATAGAACGATACAAGGCACGCTTGGTAGCAGTTGGCAACAAACAATATGGCATTGACTTTGAGGAGACATTTGCACCGGTGGCTAAGATGACTACAATAGGCACTATCACTGCCATTAATGCATCCTAAGAATGGTCACATTGAATGCTTTTCTACATGGAGAACTGAAAGAAGAAGGATACATGACTCCTGGCCTGTTCACCTACTCATCCTCTGAAGCAATCATTATATAGTTTAAAGCAAGCACCGCGGACATGGTTTGATAAATTTCGCATTACTCTCCTTAATTTCAATTTTATCCGAAGTCAATATGATTCATCTCTCTTCCTTAGAAAGACTGATATTATAATTATGGTAGTTCTAGTGTATGCAGATGATATTGTCATTACAGGTTCCGTGTGTGATCCAAGGGGTAGAAATTATCGAGTATTTGAGGAATGTCGAGATAAAGTTAAGACCAAGAATCGAGCTAAGTTGGAGACCTCGAAGAGCTAATAAATCCGTCCAATTACTTGATCGAGCTATGGAGTCCAAAATGTTGAGGTTGACAAGCCAAACAACAACCCATATCTAGGTCATTAAGGCGAAATCATGTTTAAAACGAGCAACGTGAATTAAAACAGGCATAACTTTCAGATCGGGTATCGAATTTTGCCCATGAGTACAATTCGGAAGCATCACGAAATTCTGCAAATTAAAAAGTTGGAGTTGAAATTTAAGCTATGCGACCACATAGCTTTAAAGGCATGCGACCACACAGCATGTTCCTGAAACAAAATTGAAGGCTGAATTTTGTTTTATGCAACTACGTGGCTTATAACTCTGCGACTGCATAGTAGAGTTTTGAGACTCAAATTTTCCAATTTCGCATAATCTTCTAATTAATTTGAAACTCCGATTGTATGGTATCTTTTGTAATCTTTAGACTTTATTTTCATGTCAACTAGGGTTTCATTAGTTTAGCATAAATAGGCTCATTATTTCTCATTGTAAAAAAAGATGTTTCATTATGAATTATTAGAGAGATCTCTCGAGAGGCTTTTTGCTTCAAAAATCCTTTGTTCCTGTTTGAACAAATTTTTAAACTTATCAACAGTGAAATCTTGTGGCGTTCACAATCCGGGTGAGATTCATAAGCTGTGTAATCAACAGGTCAACAAATTCATCGTTTGTTGGTTGCTTGATTCATCGTTTTTTGGGTTAAATCCGAAACCTTGACTTACTGAATTTCTTGGGATTTGGTTTCAATCCAATCTAATTGAGGAAGTGCAACATCTTCGAACTTCCTTTCACATGAAAGATCTTAGTCAATTACAGTATTTTCTTGGCCTTGAAGTGCATTCCACTTCTAAGGGTACACTATTACACCACCACAAATATACTTGAGAGATAATTACTTCTGCTGGACTTGGGTCAGGCAACTCAATTCTCGCACCTATGGAGGTCAATCACCAGGCAGGACATCTTTTGGCCGATCCTTTGCTATATCGACAGTTGGTAGGAAGTTTGAATTATTTGACAATAACAAGGCCTGATATCTCTTTTGCAGTCCAGCAAGTTAGCCAGTTTATCTCATCCGGCCGCTGTGCAACGTACCATTCGTTATCTAAAGGGTACATCTGGTCGAGGTTTATTCTTTCCTATTGGGACTTCCCTATAGTTGATTGGTTTTACTGATACTGATTGGGCTAGTTGAAAGGATATTCAACGGTTTATTACAGGTTGGTGCATGATTCTTGGAAATGCACTTATCTCGTGGAAGAGTAAGAAGCAAAATCGTGTCTCAGAGTCTTCCACCAAGTCTGAATATCGAGCTATGTCCTCCACTTGCTATGAGATTGTGTGGCTCTGGGGCTTACGGTGTAAACTTGGTTTTCATCAGCTTACTCCTACCGCACTTCATGCTAACAACACAAGCGCTGTTCAAATTGCTGCTAATCCGGTATTCCATGAGTAAACCAAGCACATTGAGGTCAATTGTCACTCCATACGAGAAGCATCTGACCAACAAGTTATTACACACACACACACAAACAAAAAAAAAACATTTCTACAGATCTTCAGACAGCTGACATATCTATCAAGGTTCTTGGACGTCTTCAACATCAATTTACGGTTGACAAATTTATATTTTTTCATCGGCTAGCATCAATTTGAAAGGGGATGTCGGTATATCACACATGTTCTGCACATAATTATACTGCAAATATATAATAGTCTTTCTTTCCTTTTATAAGAAATATGATTATGTTGTAACTAGGAAAGTGATATAATTATGAGATTTGATAGAAATATTTTGGCTATAATTTATGACGGTAATTGGGGACAAAGTTCCTATTCAATAAGAAGACTCTCTCAATTGAGAGGCATTCAGACAATTCTAACATTATTCACATATACTAACGAAAAGACAAACCATTCTACACTGTTATGTATATAGTCTTTGATTATTTAGAAGTGTAGGCATGATTGCTTCAATTGAAGGATAACATTTGTGACAATTCAAGGGTCAAAACACCAATTTAGCGAACTCTTAAGCAAAGAGAATCGTTAACACACGTGTATACGTGAGAGAGTTTATAGATGCGTTTACATATATACAGTGTGTGCAAGTGTATGTGCACTTTAATGGATAAAGCTCATTTTCAGTTAAATGTAATCATCAAAAGTTCAGTACTAGGACATGAATATAGGTTTATTATTAATGTCAAAATAAAAAGAACTTGATCAGATGTCGAAATTACTAATTACTCACAAAGGATCTTATGCAAAAAATTCATATATAGAATTACTGAACAACTTCCAAGATGTAATAACAGCTCAAGTCCAAATTAAATTCAAATCATCATCGGGAGAAACCAACAGTGCGTGTACATAGCTATTTTTGTCTTAATGGGTGACCAACAGTCTAGCTCTAAGTGACAATCTTGTTCAACTTCTGGTATACACTGCAGTAAAGAACTGTCGGTGGACATCTATTTAAGATACCTAATCAAGTTAACCAGGGGCTACAACTGAACACAGAGATATAACCTCCAAAATGCAATTGTGTTCAAGTTTGGGTGACCAACTTAGTGAACAAGTGCCTAGATGCTGCTGCTTAGATCCCTCTTCAAACCCACAAAGTCATATGTTATGTTACGTTTATGAACTGTGCAAGACAAAGCAATAAACAAAAAAGAGGTTTAACTAAAGCCCAACCGTGGTAGTCATATCAGAAGATGCAAAAAATCCCAGAGACCTATACAAGAGAGGCCAATAAAATCACTGGAGAGATCAAAGAAATTCTATTTGAGATAAGATAAATTATAATTCACATGCATTATCAACCAACTTTCTACTTTTTATGAATTAAGTGATTGGCAGCCCAACAGAATACTAGTTTTCAGCGCCCAGAAAAATCATAAAGTCCTATTAAGAATACATAAAAATGATCCAGAGGAAAGACATATAACAGAGACTCACCAGTTTCCTTTCCGGTTCCAAAACACTGTTTAATCTCTCAAGTACACTGTCATCAGCTAAAGAAATCTCATCCACAAGAAACAAATCACCGTTCTTCATCGCTTCAACAAGAGGACCATCTTGCCACATGAAAATGGTCTGCCACTTCTGAAGAAGTAGAGCTAACTCCATAGTTACTCGTTCAATATAATCAAGGTCTAGTGCAGAGACATCAGGATGCAAGACTGGACCTTGTCTGTAACTATTGATGATTACAGAAATTTTATTTAGAGTAAGAGAAGCCTGATTAATATCCGTCGAAATTGTCTGTAGATAAACAAATCCAAAGAGGACCATTATCAATAGAGTGAAAAATAATACTAAAAACCTATAGTTGAGAAGATAAACATACAGCATCTCCAGGGAAGAGGTTGAAAGCCTTCGACTGCAACAACTTCTCACACAGATCTTGGAAGTCTGCAGTAATTCTTGATCTCTCACGTACTGGATAGAAACCCTATTCATTGAAAGCAGCAAAAAATCATCATATGTTCCACAAGGAATCTTTGTCACGGGGACTTGGAAAAGTCAACAAGCAGTGAAAAGACGGCAACATAAAATCACCAGAAAAGCAAAGACAGCGAAGGAAAAGAAGCACAAACCCCAAGAAAGTCTGAACTTTCTGTGTACTGATGGCAATTCAAAATGTGTAATTTGGAACTCAAAACGATACTAAACAACTGAGCAACAGTCGTTTTCCCTCCTCCAGTTTCACCAACAAGGAGAACAGGTTCACGCATCCTATAACATCGCTCGACTAGAAAGTACATCCTCCACATACTTCTTGTCCAAATAATTCTGAAATGCAAACAAAAATATGGTGAGGAATCCATATCCATTGGCAAAGGAACCTGCAACATATAAAAGTACCAAAAAAGATACATACTTCTCAATATCTTTAGATTCTCCAGAATATTTTCCACCAGTCAAAGCTATGTCTCTGCCATCAGGCTCCTGTATTACAAATAACATTTTAGCACATTATTTTTTTTTTTCCAGCATGTATTTAATTAAAGAAAATGCACATTTCAAGTATCCTTCAATATTTACAGAAGCTACTTGCCTAGGTATAAAGAATGTGGAAATTTAGCTGTGGTTTTTATAGAAGTCTCGTCTAAACGGCTTATTTATGTTGTCTTTTTAACTCTAAAAGCATTCTCTATAATGTAAGTTAGATTTTACAAGAAAGCAAATTTTCTGTTATCTTAGTATTAACATCTCATTGTCTCATAGATTAAAGGTTTTGTTACAATTCTGCATTGGACGATATACTAAAGTTTTCTACAAAACAGAATCATCAGCATAAAATGTACTCATAGATGTAGTTAAATGAAATAACAACAATAAGTTTAATTGCATTTTTTAACAGGAGGAGCTTACCATGAATTCTGATGAATGATACCCTCTGTATAAAACCCAATCAACAACCGTCACGGGATAAATTATAAAGTGAATTGTTATCTAAGAAGCTAATCGTAAGTCGTGAAATACATGAATATTGGTTTTATAGAACAATAGTCCCATTTAGTTGCACCACATACCCTGTAGATCACTATTCAGATTAAAGAAGCTGCACATAATTAAACTAGAAAAATTATACTCTAGAGATAATATACTCTTATACCCTTTTTACAAATTTATCTAAATCACAATCATTTGCCACCATTTTTGTCAACCCTTTTGGTCATATTTATGACATTATAAGTCCATGCAACACAAGTTTCTAGCAATAACATGCACAACAAAATACAACATGAAATATCTAGTAATTAAACTTTAGAGCATATGCACAAAACGTGCGGCATGAAATGTCAAGTTTGAAACCTAGCCCTTCATTACCACAGAGTGAGTGAAAGAGAGAGACAATGATAGTGCATTTTGCACAGAAGCAAATAGAACCTAACCTGCACGTACAAGTCATCCACAGTAAGCTTGACTCGCAGATGCCTCTCCAGAACATCTTGAACAGTTTTTTTTTCATCATCATCTCGCAGCCTCTCCGCCATTAGGTAATAACCATCTCGTGCTAGATCTTCATAGGATCTTCCGAATGTCCTGAAACGATCAGCCCATCGGAACAAGTCACGGGGGGTAATGAACCCGTGTTTTCCAGCAAAAACTTTACTACTCTGCCTGTGAAATTGCAACTCCTTCATGACATCAACCATTTTTTTGGCATAGCTTTTTGGAATTTTGCACCTTTTCTCCAATATTGTGCTCAACTCCTCTTGTGGAATTTCATCAACATGAATCTCTACAAAACGGTTGCGGAATGCTCGCGAAAGCATTTTGCGCCCTCCATAGATGGTGGGTGGATTTTGAGTCGCAAACAGCATAAAATCTGGATGCACGCGAATAACTTCACGCAGTTCAGGAACAAAAAGTTCCCTGTTGTCATCTAGCAACCTGTTCAATGCTTCAAGCACATCAGAAGGAGCCAAGTTGAGCTCATCGAGAACAATCCAATAACCATTTCGAACAGCCTTAACCAAGGCACCCTCATGGAAAACAAGCTTTCCACTTGCATCGGTAATATAAGAACCTAGGTACTCTTGTAGATCGGTATGGTCATGATTATTTATTCGAACAAATTGATGACCAGTTATCGTAGCAAGATACTTAACAAGGCTAGTCTTTCCACTAGACGTGGGTCCCTGTAGAAGGACTGGATATCTTCTAATAAAAATGGCACGAGCCACATTTTCCAGATGCTTCTCAACACTACTTGTTAAAACATACTCTTCATCAGATCCTTTAGCTTTCAAGTACGATTTATATGAGACTTCTTGAGGTATATTCCGTCCAAACAAACTTGACGATATTAAACTGCGCATCAACTTAGCACTAGGTTTGTCCAATAAAGTCAGAAAAAACATACAGAAGCCATCATAAAGGGATTTCTCAAACCCAAAACACCTTTGTGCCTTTTTAGTGTATTCCAGTGCACGATAGAGAGACCTTAAACTGTACTGAGGCCTCTGGTTAGCCCCATCCTGCAGAGTTTCATCAGATTCCTTTTTTGCTGCTTTATAAAAATGCACAATTTTACTAACCAACTCTCTATCTGAATGGTCATCTGCCATAAATTGATTAACAAACAAAACCAATTCTTCATCATCCAACACATCATCAACAAAGTATTCTGTGAATCTACTCCTTAACGAAAATGGCAAGTCTCTTTTACCAGCATCAGTTGCAGGATTCATGCAAGCAAATATACGGAAGTTGGGATGCCTATACACATAATCAATATCACCCCTCTCAACTAAACATAGTGATCCTTTCTCTTCTTCAAGGACCCCAATAACTCGCTGCAAGATCTCTGGAGGAGCCAAATTTACTTCATCCAGCAATATCCATTCACCATTCTTAAGGGCAGAAATGAAGGCTCCTTCTACAAATGAAAATACCATTCCATCCGATGCATTGACTTGTGTACAAGCTCTTTCAAGCTTCACTGAAAAATTCTCCCAAGCTTTTAAAAGTTCTTCATTCAAAGGTCTCTTCCGCTTCTTACCAGAACTGGAAATTCCTATTTCAACCATCTTCCGGACACCCTTCTGGAAGCCACTTAATAGCATTTTCCATTTCTTTTTAGTCATAAGTCTCCTTAAAGAAGTGAGAAAAACTTCATTATCCTATATAAAAGAAAGAAGTACGTAAATCCATGTGCAAGCAGATGTCGTTGAACAAGCGTGAATAATAATGTACTTTTGTGAACTATACCTTGGAGGAAAATGTAATAGTAAAAAGGTTCTCAAACTCCTTATACAAAGGAACACATACAAACCGGGCATCCATAGGTTTGAACCCTCCTAGCAAATCTGCAACATCACTTTGCTGACTCAAGTTCTGGAGCATAAACAAAATTAATGTGAAAGGGTGTCTACAGCAATTTGTAGCCAAATACAGATTCATCAGACTTTTAGAAGTTACACTTCGGACATACCAAAACTGTAAGTGTCTGACCAAGCCTCGTGGCAAGACTCTGTACAAGTGTGGTCTTTCCAGTACCAGTCTCACCAACCAAGAGAACCGGCTCATTATACATAACAGAGCAAGCTATTTTCTCCAGAAGATGTACAGAACTACGGATCTCAACAAAGGGCTTCTTCTGAGAATGCAACTGTAAAAAACAGATAAAAACATTTAACAAAAAGCACAACTGTCTCGGAAAAAGGAAGGAAAGAAATAGAGAAAATCCAACGCACACTAGCAGCAACTTCAGTGCTTTGAAGGGTAACACGTCCAATTCGGAAATTAGAGCGCAATTCCTGCAGAATTTTAATGAGTGAGAAATTATTTCTGCAGCGGAGTAAAATAAATATCATCATTGAAATAGCAGAACCTGAATAATGGGTCTGTTAGCAGGATATAATGTTTCTGCAGTTGAAACTGACCACAACTTTGCAATCTCCTTCATTATAGCTAAGCGATTTTCAGCGGAGGTTGAGAAGGATGCAAAAATATCTATAGCCTGAAAACAGAATCACCAAACTTATAATCAAGCTGATCTCATCAAGCTAAGTTTTCTCAGATAAGAAATTCTAACAAATGCAACCATTTTTATCAGACCTCTTTATAGATATTATCGCGTGCATAAGCTGAAAGCTCATCCCAATGAAAGGAAAAGCCCAAGCCCGAAATCCTCTTGCACCATTTGAGAAGATCTCTGCCATTGCCAACAAATGTGGCTTAATGACATTATTTAAACACAACTTCCAGATATAGACACAAATTATACATACCTTAATGAGAATCTTCCATGACAATTTGAAGAAGCAACTATTCCAGATTGAACTGTAGTAAGCTGGTTGACTCTTTCAAAGGTTTCTGCAATAGAGGACAAAAAACATAGAATGCTTGTGTAGATCATACCCCAAAAACATGTTATACCAAAAAGCAAAAAGATAAAATGTTTATGCATCTAGGATGGTTGCTCTGAATACTATGCAAGTTAAACATACCTACGAGTTTTTCTGCAAGAGACTCCAACTCTTGATACCAGGCAATTAGAATATTTAGCAAGTCCACAGTAGTTAAAGGCCCAATTTTTACTTTCCTCCAAATTGCTCCAAGTGAATTTATACCTAGTCAAAAGAAACGGAAAGGTTAAGTAGAAAACACAAAAGTGATCCTGCTGTAATTTATTATGGCCCTATTTGAGCCACATTCTTTAGAAGAAATACATTTTTAAACAATGATTTGATATCATTTCAACCACAAATTTTTCAATAAAATAATATTACACGTAAATCCTAAATTTTTCCTTATTTTTTAACCACACATTTTTCATCAATAGACTATTCAAAACTGTATTTTTATGAAAATAATGTGGCTCAAACAAGGGCTATATGTATATTAGGATAATAACAACTATACCATTTCTTTTGATAATTACTGGTTAAGGGTATGGAACAGCCATACACAAATGATTGACAATGAATCTGCTTTGCTGATCAAATCCCATTAAAATTTATAAATAACAAAGCAGACATTGATCCCATGATAAATTAGTAACCAATAGTGAAAAGTCGTAAAGCGATATAAACAGATAAGAGGGAAAACGACACTAATTTGATTAAAATGCAACTAGGAAAATGGTCAAATTTTAAAGTGCAAGCATCATAATACTTCTTGAACAGTTTGTGCAGTGATAAAATTCCAAAATTCATCAAATTTTAAACTCAAAAACATAAATAAATATTTTATAATGTAAAAAAAATAATAACTATGTACATGAAATTGTAAAACAAATCCATTCAATTCCCCAATTTAGAGTTCAAAAGAACATAAAATCATTTAAGTTATAAAAATAGTTTATCTAACTATTGAAGGCACTATATCTTATGTGAATCTGTCTTCAAGAAATACATAATCTGCACATAAATGAAAAATTGTCATCAATTTCACATAATTTAAGGGTGTGTTTGATTGCAAGTATAAAATTTGTATGAAAAAATAAGTTCTAGGTAATTTAATTGCCTAGAACTTATTTGCATGAAAATTGTAAATTAAATGTGTTTGATTGGTTTAATTTTCAATCTATAAAATATTATACTTTTCTATTTTTTATTGGTAGGTAAGTGAGAGTGTGTATAGATGAGAGAGAAAAACACGGAGTGAATTTCTTGGAAAATAAAATCATACTCCCCCTAAAAAAAATATTTTCCTTGATTTGAGGAAAATATGGTTACGTGATCAAAAGTAAGAAAATATTTTCTATGAAAAAAGGACAATCAAAAAGCATAAAAGTAAGAATTTGGATAGAAAAAACATATTTTTCATGGAAAAATTGGCAATCAAACGAACTCTTAGTAATAACTATAAGTAACAAAAACAAGTGTATATTCTTTTGACATTTTTAGCTACACTTAGTAATACAATATTTTACCAATCAAGTGTCCTGAAAAAAATTAGGAACACTTCAAGTGCAGTTGCATCCATATTCTTAAGTATCTTATGAATCTATATTTTAATCTTGAAATATCTAAATTCATCCTAGGTTGGATCCGCATTTTAATTAGATTGCTTAGTTGCTTAGAAGATAATTCAAATCAGGGACCCAAAAACACATATATGTTGAAATATAAGAAAAGCGGTCTGAAAGCCAACAGTCAAGAAGCAATCTCATTTTCCGCTAGTGAACTTTTTAAAGATTTTATATAAGACCTTGTCAAGAACACATTTGGAGGATTTCATTATTATGTTTCAATTGACAATAACTGATGAACTGATACAGAAAGATTGGCTTCATGAGTTCTAACAAGCTTTTTCACAAACAAAAAAAAAAAAAGAGCAGCATGTGGTGACAGACTTCAAAATGCTGAATTATGTAGAGCCCCCTTGGAATCAAACATGAAGAAGGAAAAGCAATACCTCTCCATGACTAGTTAAGAATGTAGTTGCACCTTCTAATAAAGGCAATAAGATTGATTGAATATCAGGATGCGCTTTGTCAACATCCTCAAAGACAACCCAAAAACCATCTGAAACTGCCTGTTAATCGTGATTTTATTCAGGTTATAACATGGTAGCGCAAAGTCAATAATTTTATTTTATCTAAATTGTGAACAAACCTGAGTAAGAGAACCAGGCTGCCATCTGAATTCACCAGGTTGTTCCGTAGGAACATAACTCCCAACTAAAGTTTTCCCATCAATTTGCTCATCCATGTGAATAGATAGAACTTTTTGGATTGGTGTCGAGGGGAGGAGTAGAAATTAGAAAAATTCCACACGAAAACAGAAAAACAGAACCATAACTGTTTAAAGCATGAAGGGGCATGTCTATCCTAAACAATCAGGGATGCCAAAAGAAATTCAGCAAATACAGAATAATCAATAATCACCAGGTAGACTTTTATATACATGCATGGTCACGTGTTTAACAACCACATTTATCATTTGGAAGTCTCGTGGCAAGATTCCGGGCAATACCCAGGTATATATCTAGAAAACCATGTGTATCTATCCTCTTTCCCAATCATTTTAAAGAATTTATTGGAAAGTAAATAAGCATAACAAAAAGACATGTACACATCTAGATCATTGATAACATTGACTAGTTTTAAGTATATAGCATGTGTTGCTTAAAGTTTATTCTCGTCTCCTGTTAAAGATTTAACCATCACTGCTTTTACAAACACAGAGTAAAAAATTACACACCAAGGAGTATCTGATCACAGTGTTGCAAGATCACATCGTGAAGATACAGTTTGAGTATTACAAACAAATAAAAGAGTTGAAGAATCTGATTCGCACTAGATTAGCATTTTTATGCCACCATATTGACTTGCACATATTTCACTCATCCTCAAGGAAAGCGGTGTAACGTAGAGTAGCCCTATTAGCTGCAATCTAATGCTGCCATGTGGATACCAAACAAACCTGGAACTTTCTGTATAGTATCCTCCAAAGGTTAGTTTCTATGGTGAAAGAAAGCTAAAATCTAGACCCTTCTATTTTTGATGGAGGAATAACTAAATTTTATCAAAAGCAACTAGGGAAATAGCACCGCTGGAATCATCGGTCCTTGCATAGTAGAAAGAAAGGCAATGGAACAGTAGCAAGAGTGTTCTACACATGATGCACCAAACAAAAATATGTAGAGGAAGAGCATGGAATAAACACCAATTCTTAAAGAAAAGCACGAGTAATTTGGAAAAACAAAACATGGCAGCTTGACGAATTAAAATGCATACCTCTTCTACCGAGATCCCTGGCCAACTTGCAAATAAGTGCCGTTTTCCCGGCACCAGCTGGGCCATAAAGAAGAACTGGCCATCTCTGACTCACAGCTATCATGACCATCTCAAAACTTTTCTTCACAGCAGATGTCAAGATAAAGGGATTTCCAGAATTACTGAATACATGAGATAATCAGATTATAACAATGTATAATAAAAAAGGGGTGAGCATCATAAAAGCAACTTCAGCATACAAAAAGCTGAAAATAGAAGTAGAGGAGAAAGCTCAACAAACCACACATTCCAAACTGGAAAGGGACACCATTTCAGGAACTAACTCTCACAAATTTGATAAGAGATCATCAACATTTCTATAGTAACATAGCCCCTGTTTGGGCTCCATTTTTGTGGAAATGCATTTTTCTCTTTCTACTTTTCAATTCCAATAAAATAATATTACACATAAATCCAAATTTTTCCTTAATTTTCAACCACGCATTCTCCAAAAAATCACAGTGCTAAAATAAATTTTTCCCCAAAACCTATTTTTAAGGGAGTCCAAACAGGGCCATAACAACACAATCCCCTTTTCAAGCATTTCATATTTATGAAAATTACCATGTCTCCAACATGCTGCTATGATTTGATGGAACAGTCTCATGAAGCATTCTGGAGGATGCAGAGATGGAACTAAGGCTGCAAGGCTCTAAATAATGACGGTCATTGATATCAGTACATTTTCCAAACAAAGCCATCTTTTCTTCCACAGAAGATTCAAGATACCATCCCGCTTTCTCCAATGATACATCCATACAAAATTCTTGCCAGCTGCAGATTTTAATTGGAAGAAAAGTTGAGAAGGCAAGAGAGTGAGCATAGACAAATTTAGAGAAGCAGAATGGAAGTTAATTGTATCTTAGTTTGAGACATCCGATATTTGTTATTGCATGCTAACTACTGAATCAGCAACTTTTATTCTCAAGACATGAACGGGACTGTTTCCGTTATATCTTTCATGCTTCCTCTCCTTCAGACCTTTGTATGGTTACTTTCATGCTAAAGAGAATGGAATTGATAATGTAAGTAATGCAAACTTTCAATAAGAAGATAAAGAAAACATACCGCATCCAACTCTGAAAAGCTTCTCCGGAGTCGAGATTAAACTTCGTAGACGCTTTAAAACTCAGCTTCAAAACAACCAAGAGCATTTGTATACCACACCATCTTATGTCAGAGATATTCATCCTCCACTGTGTGTCCTTGCTTGGGTCGAGGTTTGCAGATTGCCGTACAAGGTCCAGAAAACAGGACCAGTCCCACAATCTGGTGAAAATCTCAGGCTCTAATACAAAGAAGCGATACGATGCTCGTACAACATTCAATATTTTAGTTGATCCCTAGAAGATAGTGAGTTTATGTAATTATCAAAATGCACAACAGAATCATGAATTAGCAACATGAAAAATAAATTGCTGGAACCATGAGGACATTATGCTTGCTGGTGTAACATATAAGTTTGCAAGAACTGCTAGTGTTTGGTGACAAGCACTAGATTTCTGCAATTAAATATATAATATGTCCTGGTCTATCGCATCATGCTGAAAAGATGGTAAATTCTTTCTTGCTAAGTTGAACAGTCTATTACATACAGGTGATCAAATACTTCATATATTTATTTGACTTCTTTTTATAGTTTAACGAACTTAAATGTTTTACTACATGTTTGCACGTGTACAATATTTTCTATATCAAATGTAACGGTTTCATTACTTTTACATTTTAAAGCATTATTTACTTGATGTCAACGACCCACTTGAACACAAATCAATACTGCAGATTTCCCACTTTAGCTTTATCTCCACCAGGTAAGTATGTTAGTCATCACAACTTTACTTCTTTATATGGATTGCTAAGTCACCACTGAAAAGTAGAAAGTCAAATTAAAAGAATAGTAGTTGCAAACAGGGTTGGTGCCCAACACAGATAACTGATGCTTGTGTTTGTTAACTTCTAATTGCATTCCAAAAAAATTGTATTTCCATGTTATTGGAAGAAATGCTTTTCATCACATTCCCATGTGCAAATAAACACAAGTAACCGGCTCTGGATATATTAATGTGGTACCTTCTTCTGCAAGTCATCAAAATAGGGAATAGAAGCAAGCTTTGGACACCGAGAAAGAAACCTTTGGAGCTCAACTTCAAGGCGAAAACTCCCATCAATAGCCATTTAAAATTCCTACCAAATACTATAAACAGTGCTGTCGATTGATTTGAGAAGGTTTTGTTGTCAAGTCAATGATCAAAATCAAGTTATAGCTGCGGATATCCAGAAACTGCATGGTGAAAAGAAGTCTACTTACATTAGCACAACCAAAAATTAATGCTGAAAATAATAAAAACTTGTATTATCGTTCAAGACTTCAAAAAGAATAATATTCGTCCAGCACCATCCCTGCTTAAGCTTTTCTTGCTGCAGCGGGAGCGGCCAAACATGACCAGCATGTCTGGTGTACTTTTTCGAATTTCATCCTCTTTAGTCTCATGTTAGTTGAAAAAAAACATGTGTAAAACGCACCTGATTGTTCTGGCTTCTGAATTTCGCGAATTCGAGGTGAAAAGCCTGGGCTTAAATTAATGGTTTCTAGGTTAGGAACAGGGTTTAGGGGCGGGAGCTGAGCGCGCAGGCGAGGAAGAGGGAGAAGTATAAATTAGGTTTTAGTTAGGAACTTTTGGACTGTTAGCCGCCCAGCGTGCAAGTTTATTTTTCACCGGCTTTGATAAAAAGGGGATAATTTCACAAACGGTTACTGAACTTACGTGAAAATTACAAAACAGTCACTAAAGTTTAAAATTTTCAATAACAGTCACTTAAGTTTCGAAACACTTAAAAAAACAGTCACTAAAGTTTAAAAAATTTCAGAAATGGTCACTGAAATTTAAAAATTTGCAGAAACGATCACTGAATTTTAAAAACATATTTTCAATTTTTTGGGCTACTTTTGCTGGAATTTTTCGACCACTTCCGACCATGGATACCTCTGAGTTTTGATATCGTTGAAAAGCTCACAGTGCCCTCTTCAATTACCATCCAAAATCTCCTCGTAACTCCAAGAGATTCGACATAAATAAACTCACGAAGTTGGCTACCCGAAAAGGCGAAAATCTTAACAATTTTTTTGGCTATATTTTAGGCAACTTTTTGGTAACTTTCGACCACCAATACCGTCGAATTTTGATACCGTTGGAAAGTCCACAATATCTTCTTCAATTACTATTAAAAAACTCTCCCAAACTCCAAAGGATTCTGCTTGAATAAACCCACAAAGTTGACTACTCGAAAAGGCGAAAATCGATAGATTCTCAAATTTTTTGGATGAATTTTGCTACGATTTTCCAGTCCAATCCCTTGGAGTTACAGTAGGGACGGCAATCGGGCTTCTCGGCTTAAACCGCCCATGGCTCGGCTTGAGACTTGGGTCGAGTCCCATTTTGGGATGCCAAGCAAAGCCTTCGTCGACTCATGTTCACAAGCCTATATTAAAAATATATATATTTTAAAAGCAGCAACACGCTGCCTTAAAAGGAAGCGTGCTGCTACCTAAAATAGGTAGTAAGTTACTGCCATGTTTGTAATAAAAAAACACCAAAATCGAACATGCCCGAGTTGAAAGTTCGGATCGAACCTAATTTTTTTGGCCGAGCAACTCGGGCTCGGAAAAAAGCTTGATCTTTTTACCCGAGCCTCGAATTTCGTCTCGCGAGTCAGCTCAGCTCGTTGACATCTCTAAGCTACAGGGATATTTTGAGTCGTAATTGAAGAGAACATTATAGACTTTCCAATAGCATCAAAATTCGACGATATCGATAGTCGAAAGTGGCCGAAAGGTTTTTCGCAAAAGTAGCCCAAAAAACAAAAAAATGTTTTTAAATTTCAGTGATCGTTTTTCTAAGTTTTTAAATTTTAGTGACCGTTTTTTAAACTTTTTAAATTTCGGTGACCTTTTTAAGCATCCTAAAATTTAAGTGACCGTTACTGAAAGTTTTAAATTTCAATGACTGTTTTGTAATTTTTACATAAGTTCAGTGACTGTTTGTGAAATTAACCCAAAAAAATATGCCTGCTATTTTTTGGTATCAACATCAAATAATTTAAAATTTACCCAAAATGAGTATAGTGTAATTTAAATCAGTTCTTTCAACCATCAAATCCAGGAATTTTGATCATTTCTTATATTTTCTTCTAATTTTATTCTCTATAATCCAACCAACATTTTCTTCAAAGCTAATTTATAAACAAAAATAAATTAATTAAAAATTTATTTATAATCCAAAAAATTATGCTATAATTAAAAAAATACTTACTTGAGAGATAAGAAAAATTCATTATAATTAAAAAATTAATTATAAGTAAAAAAATCACTTTTATGTAAAAAAATAAATTATAAAATAAAGTACTACTAATAAGACAAAAATCACTTAAAAAAAAAGATACTTATAAGTAAAAAAATTCATTTAAGAAACTATAAATCAAAAATTTTATTAAGGAACGTGTAATTTTATTCTTTAAAAAAAAATTAGAATCGGTGGATAATATATAGCTTCCGAAATTTTATTGGATTTAAAATTTAAGGTGTTATCGATATCATTTTATAATTGTACTAGACTATAAAATATTTAATTGAAAAATTAAAATTTAATTCATTTAAAATCTCATAACCGAAAGAAATAAATCCCGAAATGTTAAATCACAGAATTTGGGACATTTATTATCAGTTTAAGATAACATTACATATCTCGACCAAAAAAAATATATATATATTAATTATTTTCATGAAAATTTTTATTTGGACAACCCGCACACTGCTCAATCACCTCCACATCTAATCGATTTAACCTGAAAAGTTAAAATTTGAAATAATAAGCATTTTAAATCAAGTAGGAAATGTGCATCCAAAAGAATATAATTATTTGACATAAATTATGGCATTTCATATCACCATTTCATTGAAAGCACTTAAAGATCAATCGAATACTTTAATATACTTCTATGCAAATAATTGATAAAACTCGAAGGAAGTCTTACATTTAATTTCATTAAGACCCATAGGTCAATTAGTATTTTATGAAACACACACATATATCAACTCGTATGTAATATCCTACCTTTATTGGACCAATGAAAAATGTTGTAAGATCTTTTTGAAAATACAGGTTGTTAGACCTTCACTCAAAATTATGAACAAAACTTTGAATATGAACATTTTTCGTGTATGTTTTCTTTTGACTTGAAGTGAAATGAATGAAAAATAAGACCAAACAACATTATTATATAGGAAAATTTGTTTCGATTTTAAATTTTAAATATTGATCACTCTGTTCATACACGATTTAAAAAAAAAAAAAAAAACTAAACACATTTATTCACATACCAAATAAACAGAATTTGTTACTGATATCCTTTTTGTAATTTAAACCAACAAGGAAATCTGATTAAAATTGGATTAAATATATTCTAAAATTAAGAATAAGTTAATCACATAATAAAAAATTATATGTCCTCGTTTGGGCCTCATTTTTTGAGAATGAAAATAAGTGAAATAGAAATTAATAGGGGTCAAAAGGGACTATATAACAAGAATTGTTTGAATTTAAAGTTCAAATTCCCTGTCATCTATATACACTAGCACCTTGAAATTCACGTGCACATGTCAACAGGATTGGAGAAAACTGAATTCGTTACGGTGACATTATTATATTTTATTTTATTTTTAAGATAAATGGAAATTTGGTAAAATTACGAGTGACTTTCAAATTTCAATGTGCTAGTCGTTGAAATTAGAATAGTATTTGTTATATCAAATTATCTTTAAAGATAAGAATAAGCCTCAATTATCTAATATAATACTCTTTTCTTTTGATAATTATCTTAAAAGATATATTATTAAGTAATAAATTAATACATATTATATATGTTTCTTTGAATTGAGATAACTTCAACTTAACTTACATAAACTTACATTTTCTTGAGCACAACATACGTTATTTAATGCGAGCTACAAATATTTGTATATTTTCTCCTTTTCCTATAATACTTAAATATTTAGTCAAAACTAAATAAAATAAATGGACCGACCAATCATTTTATTTTATGAATTTTATTGTATCTAATAAGACTAAGGGTAAGACGGGGTAGAAAAAAAATGCCGCGAAATAATATTCAAGCACTAGATGCTACGCTAAAGTAACCCACGTCATACTCACAGAAAAAGTTCAAATGAACTTTAAATAAAAGGGTACATATACCCGAAACCGACATAGGTGGGTAAGTAAATAATACTCAGGGGTTTGAGACAACTCTCTGTAAAGAACTCGACAGAGTAGCCCCGTAACTTCGGAAGAATGGGTGCCTCCTC